TTGTGGTGGCTAGTCGATATACAAGTCAGTGCTTTTAACCTTCCACATACCTCTGGTGCCAATTACCGAACCCGGAGAGACGGTGGGCTTGGTTGGCCTGGACGGACGGATCGATCCGGGATTCGAACCCCTAAACATGCGTGTGAGATAGTGCGCCACTTGCCACCACACCATCGACAAATGTGATTAATGAAGATTAGAACAACGAAAATAGAAGGTTTCCCCTCAGGAGCTCCTTCCAGGGAACTGTTACTGGAATCAGACCTGGAAGCACTTTCCTGTAGGAAGGGTGCTGCCAAATAGGAAAGTCGAAGTCGAATTGAGCGAGATGGCAGCATTTCAGCAATGCTCCAAATCGCTGGTTCAAGCTGGTGCAATATGTTGTTACCAAGCATTTGAACATTGATGTCTGAAGCGTCTTTGAGAACAACCCCTTTGCGTCGTTTCAGAGCAGCTATTATCAAGTGTCTGGGTCGCGCCTAATTTCCCCTCTCTCCTTACTGCATGTTGTCGCTGAATCTCTACTTCCAAGTACTTGAAGCAGACAGGGCGAAAGCTATCAGCACAACTCGTACTCTCTTCTGCCCAAACCAGTAACGAAAACAACGCAGTTTGGAGCAATTTCCGTCGACTTGCTCTTTTCGGACGAACCACTCTGGGCCTCCACTTTCGCATGAGAGTCCCATAACCCCACTCCGCTATGGACGATTGTGTCTCGAATGTTGGAAGCACTGCGAGAAAATATAATTCGGAAATTTCTGGAAAGTAAGAGACCGAATGTAATCAGTCTTTGAAGTAGCCCTTTGTGAGGCTCTAATCCTGTCCGTGGCAGTGCCATCAGGCTATGGCGCCTAGTCCTTCGATCTTTTCCAAAATATTTCCCTTATTCAATTTTCTCCAGTTATGTTGAGTAGCAGTACATCAAAATGCTTGGCACAAGGTCCTCCAAACCCGGTTTGAGGGGATTTGGTGTTGTAGAATTTCAAAAATCCGCCATTGATGCCTTATTTATTGCCTTTATTTAGTGGAAGCTCATGCCAGCTCATTCCATCTTTCTAGCTATTCCAACCCTCTAGCCGGAGATATCGAAGGAGCTTTTTAGGGATATGAGACAAACAGTCATATTAGCCGTAGTCAAATGGTAGTTCTCTACTGGAGCATGATAGACGATCTCCCAGGAGAACCACTAAATCTAGAACACGCTGTTCAGGTTACTTTCACACCTTCTTCTACCGAAAAAAACGAATTCTTCGAAGCCGAGCCTGATGCTTCTTCTATTCGTGGCAGCTCCGAATACAAGAAGCAGCTTCTTCAATCGCGATTAGCAAGCGAAGTTATTCAACATCAACAGCGGTTCCCTGCGGAACTCGTTTCGCATGAAAAACGTCGAAAGTTAACGACTGTGGCATGCACTAATTGTTGATACCTACTCGTTAATATTCACATCATCAGTGAATGTTTTCAATATTAACTGACCAGTACTGAGCCGTCAACGTGAAAAAGCTCCAGACAGTAATAAGCAAGTGTTCTCAAAACAGGAACGGCCAATGATTATTTTTCTGTACCCATTACTCATATAATCACAGATATCGTAATCACATGTAACATGAATAAGCCGTAAGGAAGTTGGATTGTAATGAAAAATACGAAATAATGTCGAATCGTTTTAGATATCATGGTCAGGTGAACACTGATTCACTTCATTTTGCTGTTAAAATGGTATAAGAAGATACGAACGTACCTATAGATTTAGCCCTAGATTTAGGAGGTCGTCTATAACACCCTAGCAGAAAACAGCGATTTGACGAGAATAAGGAATTGCAGGGCCTACTAGTGGTTTTGTGTGGTCAGCGCCTTTCTTAGCCAAGTCTAGTACCGATTAAGTCATTCTGGAATGGTGGAAGTCTTAATCGGCAGGGGGAGTGGGGAGTGTCCTTCCAGAATACGCGGCATGCTCAGATTTTCCTCCGCATATATTGGGACCTTTATGCCTGAATGAGCATTCTTTAGATGTCCCTTGTCACAGCTTTGTTGTCAATTGGGGGTGAATAGATCAATTTTCGCAACTGCGGATGATGTAGATATTAACATAACTGTGGAGCCATTAAAGGCAGGAAAAGGCATGTCCAGGTAGCGCTTTCACAGCCCGGGAGACCAATCTTGGATCAGTAGCCGCCTAGGAAAACCTGAGCTTTCCATCGTCAGGGGTTCCTTGACTGATGCCAAACTGCCTGGTAGCAGTAAAGTACCAACTTGAGCTCACGTAATACTCAACATACCAGACCCTTGTCATTAATTTTACAGATCGAATATTTTTCGAGACCACTACGATTCCCTTTGGGAGACGAGTGCATCTCGACAAGTGGATTCATCAATTCTTGAAAAGAACTTCACCCTTCTTGACTCTGTGACATGACTCTGTGATTTCGATTCAAGGGCTCGAATCAAAAGCTTG